GTCCTGAAAGTGATGAGACTTTTGCTAACGGATAGGGCGATATATATGACTTAACAAATGTTTATGGAAAAGTAAAAAGATAGGCAAAGATGGGGAATCAGATCCTTTAGGAGCTGGAAACTTACAGGTCATAAAAGGATGGTACGTTGCACTCCGGGGGCAGTTTGTCCTGTGAGATTGATAACTGTTCTAGACGAAAAGGATCACTGCTACAATGAATAGATCGAATTGAAGCAGAGAAACTTCGACTACTTCTTTGAGATGCCCAGTTCAACCAAATGATTGCAGCCAAGAGGCGTCCAGCATAGTTTAGTCCCAGGCCACCGGCTGCTGGGTAGGCAAGAGAGGCACAAACGAAGCGAGCCAGTCGGCCGGCAGAGGTCTGGAGACCGTCAGTACACTGGGCTTGTGAGGCTAGTAATTGTGACGAAGAGAGTGTAGCAGTTCCTTCTGTTGATAGAGCCGAAACGGTACCGTTGCTAGATGATAGGCTGAGAAAAAGAAGCCAGCGCAAGCAGAGGGTAAGCTCGGAAAGAGCCGACGCTTGAAGTGAATCTGTTGTCTGAAGGGAAGTTAAAGTAATTGTGAAGTTGGGGCAAAATTCATCTACAGATATTAACGTGAAATAGTTTAGGTTGACACATTTTAGGAATAGTAGCAAGTAAATATGAATAGAGAAATTAAACAAATATATGAGAGGCAAGTACTGCATAAGTGTTTATTTTAACAGTTCAAAAATTAATCATAAAATTTAATTTGAATTGAACTAAGGTGCAGAAGTTCTCATCAATCTGAGGCCATTAGTGTGTTTATAAAAAAAACTTTGTGGAAGGAAATTAGCATACGACATTAATGCAGCAACTTTTGAAGAATTCATCAAGATGTACAAACCCATCCTCCAAAATAATGATAGTACACCTTGCATATAAAAATAAAGTAGTGAGAAGAAGGATTTAATATTTTACGGAGGTAGAGATAAAAAGAATAGACAAAATTTGTAAAAAAATCCCTCGTTAAAACCTCTAAAATTCAAAATGACAATTCGGTTCATGTTATGTGCTCGATTATTAGATGTTGCTGAAAATGCATCAG